AMMAATTGAACAGCTAGTAGCGGCCTCACCACACAAAAAGRRACRCACACRATAACRCACACACAACCACACCACCACGCACACACACATGCACACGATAACGCACACACAAGCACACGATAACGCACACATACGCACAAGATAAGCGACACACACGCACATGATAATGCACACTCACACACACGACAACTCACACACTTTTACACGACCACACTCTCGCATACACAAACCTGCGCCCACGTCGACGAACACGAACGGCCGACACAACACCAAACGCGCGACCGCATGCGCACAGCACAATCGGTCGTCGAAGGATTCACCGCAGCGACGGCCACACAATAGCAGTCACGCGCGCAAACACAAACAGCCGAAGAGGAACTTGGAACAGCGGAAGAGGAACTTGGAACACGCGGCTGTGTGACGACGCAACTGCATGCCGACAGCGAGACTGAGCACCACGCACAAACCCTAAACGAACACACACCGCCGCGCACAAAGGGGCAACGCAGCACCGTTATCTGCCCGCCGCAGTGCAACGATGGACACGGGGACGCGGGCGCTCGAGGGCTGGGTATGACGGTGGAGGGAAACAACACAGCAAGCGGCCCGAGGTTCCGTTCGGGGTTGGCGGCGATGGCGGACTACAGTGCACGATCCTGAACGGAGGTCGGCTCCCGCACGCCGAACGGAAACCCTACGCAATGGACCGGAAAACACAGCGTTCAGAACGTGTTTTCACATTACAGTTTTTGTACAGGACAGGCACCACGGTGAGAGCGAGGCCGCAAATTTTTTTATTTCCTCGTTACTTTTTTTTTTTTTTTTTTTTTTGGTTTATTCGTTTTCGGTCCTCATTGCCGTCAACGGCACGAAGTCCGATCGAGGTTACGCGGCGGCCCCAACACTGGACCGGATTCACGTCGCGACGACCGTCGATGGAATCCGGCGGCGTCCGCCGTCTGCTACGCGGGAACGTGGTACACTCGCCTGGGACTGCTGAATATCGGTCAGTTGCGGGCGGGTGAATCGGTGAGGTGCGGCCAGCTACCTCCAAAAAACCCGACCTTAACTCACCGCGACCAAGGGTTTTCACTGGCGGGGGGACCGATGGTTTAACATGGCCCCTGCACATGGATGACATGCATAAATAAAAAAGAGAAAGAAAGAAATGCGTGAGGCTTTGGGCCCCACCAAAACAAGAAAGTGGGGGGGAGGGGATCAGAGGGGAGGAGAAGATGTTGTATGGTGGGTTGTGGGGTAGACTGCCTGACATCGAGGCTTCATTTGGTAGGATCGGGACAACCATGAAAATTGGAACCATACAGCGAAGACTAATATGGTCCCGGTGCAAGGATGACATGTATGAATAGAAAAAAGAAAAGAAAAGAAATTAATGCCTCAGGGTTAGGGCCCCACCAAAATAAGAGGAAAGGGGAGGAGGGGAGGAGGGGAGAGAGGAGAAGATTTTGTACACTACGTTGAGGAGAAGAGTACTTCAGTGCTTTCATTCGCCTCATCTTCAATTGCTAAAATAAAATCCAGCGTTCTAAAGAGAGGAAAATATAGAAGTTCAGAAAACTGCCTGAGCGTCGACTCACAGAGGACGGTAAGCGCTTGGTCAGGAATATGTTAGAAGCAGGCCTTCACCTATTGGTACGACGGGACCAAAACTTGGGACTGTGCATAAGGCGTCCTTGGAAACTTAGAGCCTATGGGGCCCAAGGGGGGTACCCTGGAGGTGTGCAAAATTTTGTACACTCCAACTTTGGCAAGTATAAATCGTCCTTCTATTAAGCATAAATTTAGAGAGTCGGGACGTAGGGTAAATCTTGCCGCATCAGGAAACAATTAAAGAAATCAAATCCACCACCTGAGATAGCCGGCTTGCTCCCTCTAGCAGGTCTTCTCGCCAGCCTTAGGGGTTAGATTCAACCACGAGGGGATCGACCCTAAGGGGATAGGTAGGCTTGGATAGACTGGGAGGAAAGCATCCCGTAGGTAAAATAGTGTGCAACCCATAACCCTTAAATTAAGCCATCCGCACCTTATCCATGGATCAGCCGTAGGCCTGAATTTGCACTGCGCACCAGAGAAAAACAAAAACGGTACGGATGTATCTGGTTGGCGCCGCCGGCCATTTCGCCGCGGGCCTGAACTTCTGTGTTAAACCACCAGTACCTACCGGTTGTCAAGGCCCGTGGCTCAGGCTACCGGTCGGCCGATCATTCCCGAGCCTTGACTTTATTGCTGAGCCTCGGACAACCGGTAGTACACAACAGGAAAAAAAAAAAAAAAAAAAAAAAATCAGACGTTTCCATC